AATGACCTTGAGCCATCCCAGGATTTTACGGGAGGTAGTATGGTCAGGCACATTGATTTCTGTGACCTGACCAGTAGAAAAAAAAAACATCCACACAATGTCACACTTGAACTGTTTTCCTATTCTCGAAATATTATAGGGAACTGGGGGTAATAAATACAGATGCAGGTACTTATTGTGAGTCCCTGCAGAAGGTGCCAAGGCTCAGTTCGGTTCAGCTAGGTTTGCCCACCTCGGACTACCGTACTGTACTCGAGTAAGCAGAAGAGATCTGTGGATGGATCTTGGCGTGTCATCCGCAACAGCGGGAACAGGTACTTCCAGGGCCCTACACTCAAGATTGATAGGGGAATAGTATGGTCGCTTGGGAAAAAGCTTGATAGTCTACGAGTATATTCCTCAGGGCCATAAACCCCATCGGCTGGGTCGCAGTTGGGTGACCGAAACCACACCCCTACGGTCCTACAAGTAGTTTTTGAGGATCGGGAGACAAGGTACATACTTGAGTACTAACGGGCCGTGAGGCTCGGGAGCGAACGAAGGGACGGTAGGGTGGTGAAGGGCATCTCTGAGTGGTTTTCGGTGCTTATACCCATTTAGGCTGGGACGGGACGGGACGGGGTGGGATGGGATGGGTTGGCAGGGTCGGCCAGGTAAGGTGAGTGAGGGGTTTATTTTAAACTTTTCTTCTATCATAATATCATAGAACTCACGGTCTGTGTGCCGGCGTTCTTGGTCCGGGGGGGCCGGGGGTGATAAGATTTCTTGCCCTCCCCGCAATGTTTTGAGAGATAAGCTGTAGTCTCGGTTTAGGTACGGGCAGTGAGTACCGGTGTCGGTATGATACTACTGTATCTTAAGTTGCTAGATTGGACCTGCATTCCTTTTCTTTCTTTATTTCTTTTTTCCGTCTTTTCCTTTAGTGGGCGTGGCAGGTTAATAGCTCACGAAGAGAAACGCAAATCCAACCCGGCGACTTGAGCGTAGTAGGTGGACTCTGGATACCTGCTGCTTTACAGAGGTCGAATGGCGATGCTTTGCCCATATTATGTAGTCGTCTTGTGCAGCGCTGGGCAATTGAAGGGCCAGTCTTTGATAGCTGGCGGATGCTATTCACGAATAAACCTTGGGCGCAAAGATAAGCACAATATCTTCCCTCTTTTTCTCTCATTAAACCTCTCAAGGTTCTCCCTCTCTTCCCTTTCCATCACTGGGGATCCGTTTCACGCCCAGACCTTTTCTTTTTTTTCTGTTTACAATGCTTGCAGTTCTCCGGATGTCCGAGTGACTGAGTATGAATGACGGTTCCAAGACAATATCGATGGGAGCTTTTGGTCACCTGTGTGGAAATGGTTGTGTAACACATACAACATACCCCCATGTTGCTCCTTGGCCTCAAAAAACCCTATCCAACTCATTAGGGCCTAACAATCGGGGCATGGGACGAGCGTACCCGAGTACAACTCCATCGAGCTCTTTTCGAAAATTTCTACTTTGACACCTGCCTGACCACCTGTCAACCAGGGCAAACGGCCACCGGGACGGCCGAAAAGTGCAAAAGCTCGGTGATCGGAAAATCGTCTATTCGCTCTTCTTTTAATAGTTATTTCCCGGAACCCGTCAACTGTTGTGCGGTCGGTCGTTCGGGGGAAAAAAAATTATACGAGGAAAAGAACGGAAAAGAGTGCGAAAAGAAAAACAAGTCTGTGGTGTTGATCATCACCCTTTTTTTCCTCCTTCCTTTTTTCAGCTAAGCGAATCACAGAAACCGGGGAATAATACGGTAATGGTAAATCGCCCACAGAAGTTTACTTCGACGACCAAAGACAACACAGGCGGGGCTTTGGGTCATCTAGTGAAGCGAAAACATCCGTTAATCCTACAAATCTCGGGGTAAAGAAGGGGGAGAAGATGTCGGTTATTATCGTGCCATCAGGTACTGCTGGTTTCAATCTACCAAGTCCAGCTGCGTATCTCCATCAGCAGGACATTCACACCTACCTTAGCGCTCAGGTTCTTTCCCGACGTAACGAATACCTTCAACAGAAGAAGATACGGGTAAAGGTAGCAAGTTGGAACGTTGCCGCATGTGATGGTACCGAAAGGGATCTGGAAGAGTGGTTGCTTGATCATCAGAATGATTTCAAATCTGAAGGGGATGAGGGTGCTAGTGAGGTCGGAATCTATGTCTTGGCGTTGCAGGAGGTTGTCGACGTCACAACCACGGAGAGTTTTATAAAATATATGGATCCCAAGATTTCTCTGAAATGGGAAGCTCATGCTCAGGTGTGCCTTTCTGACTGTGTGTTTTGGGAGTTTGTCTCGCGATTGATGGGAAAGTAACGATGCTTTTTTCCCTTTAGGCGGCGGTGCCGGCTGGCTACATCTGTAGGGCTTCGAAACAGCTCATTGGCTTGTTGCTTATGGTTTTCGTATCGCCAGACCTATCGCCTCTTGTTACTTCGGTCTCGACAGCGGTAGTAGGGACGGGAATGGGCGTTCGAGCTACAGGCTTCATGGGCAACAAGGGAGGTGTGGGGATTAGGCTAGTTATCGGTGAAACATTGAGATTAGTGCTTGTGGACTGTCACCTCGCAGCCTTTACAAACAATACGGAACGGAGAAACTGGGACGCAGGAGAGATCTCGGAACGAATGAGCTTCGATCCTGTTGAGAAGAACTTTGTTGGCTTTGATAAAGGGGAGAAGGGGGATCCAAGCGATGACAGTGGGAGTGCCCTTGAAGGCATTGAAGATGCTGATATTCTGTTATGGTGTGGGGATCTCAACTATCGTGTTGAACTCCCGAACGAGGATATAAGGAGGTTACTGTCCTCTTATATGCCCAAGGACCTCCCACCTACACACGCGGATGGCCCATCTACATCAGCGTCCCCTGTAGACCAAGTCCAGGGAGAATTTGAGGAGCCACCGCTACCACCCCTACCGAGCGAAATCCATCCAGAAGCGGTACCGACCCTGCAAGGGACAATCGATAGCTTGCTAAATCATGATCAGCTCTACAAACAACAAAAGGATGCTAAAGCCTTTGTAGGCTTCCGCGAGGGGAAGATCAGGTTTCTCCCCAGCTACAAGTATGACATTGGTACGGTAGGGAGATGGGATTCTAGTGTGAAAGCCCGAGCTCCGAGCTGGTGTGATAGGATACTCTGGAAAGTTAAAGGTGCAGAACCTCAGGAGGCCAAGAGAGGGCGAGCTAGATCGAGGGGAATGAGCATATTAAAAGACGAGGTTCTCTTCCAAACAGAAGATTCGGACGAAGAGGATATTGTGGTCTCGAGGGCTGATAGTGCGATACCGCACGTCTCCTCGGTTTCGCAGGCCAAAACACCAACTTCTGTTTTCAGACTCCCTTCCGGAGAAATCGGCCTGCGACAGTTATATTATACTTCATGCCAAAATGTTACGTCATCGGATCATAAGCCCGTTGTTTCAATGTTCGAAATGTGGTTTCCATCAGTAGTGCCGGAAATGAAAGCTAAAGTCCACGCGGAGGTTGCAAGAGAAGTTGATAAGATGGAAAACGAAAGGAAGCCTGCTGTAACTGTCGTGGTTGACCAATTTGATGGGGGGGAATGCGAAGAGGGGGTTGTCGACTTTGGAGAGGTCCGATACAATCAGGCCAAGAGACGGAGCGTGACAGTAGCAAACACTGGAACTGCAGGGGCGAATGTCAGGTTCGTAGGAAGACCGTCCCCCGATGAGGGAGAGGGTAGAGGGGTGGTTGCGAAAGAGTGGTTGAAAGTCCAGTTTTCTGGAGGTGGGGCTAGTAACAATACATTACACGGGATGTTGAGGTTCGTACTGTCC